AATTGGTTATTGATAAATTTAAACAACGCATAAGAAGGGCCAAGAGCCCACAGATCACAGGGATTAAGACCGGATAAGCTGGTCGGTAGTTAACTGCGAATGAAGAGTAACTAAAAGAAAGATAGAGTCTGGTAGCAGAGGGCAAGCAGATATAAAAATTAAGAACTGGTATACCGGGTCTCGTATGAATGTGAAAATAGTTAGAGTTACACATAGATAAGTTATATGCCTGTTGTAAAGGTATAGTTAGTGTCAGGGAAGGCAGCATGCGCTTAGCAATAACTGAACTACTTTTATTTTGGACCGGGGATGCATTCAGGTTTTGGATCACGTCATTCTGATGCCATGTCTCAGTCGGTTTAATCTAGAGTTAAGGAGGACTGCGTTGGAATAATGAGGCTAGTGTCCTACCTGACGCAGGCTGTTTTCGGGAAAATATAGGGGCTACCAGAAAAAAAGTGCCATAACAACTAGGGAAGCAGACGGAAGCGTCGGTTGACTTGAGTCTGACGGGATGTTTGCAGCATGGGGGAGCGGTAAGCTAGATTTTCCATGAGTAATACAAATTGCCTCCCCCCAATACTAATTATGCCATGACCGGATTTTTCAGGGATTTTCTGTGAAGTCGAAGCTTTATAAGAAGAACTTGATCGTATTCTTCATACCAAGTAGGTGGGATCATGAGAGGGGAAATACATTGGCTTTCCCAAACATCTGGAAACATGGCCTGGGTGGTTAAAAATGGAGTCACCTTCAATGGGTAAAAATAGTTTAACTAAAATAGGGGGATTATTGCTAGGAAATGACAGTCGTATAGCATCCGCTATTTTATAATTAAGGCCACATGAATGCAGGAAATCCCCTGCAACGTCAATAGACCATGTGGATTTTGGTACGTTATACGTTGGAAGTTATACGTTCCCTTCCCTCTGTTATTAGATTCACTTGCGACCAAATGAACGAGGGCATCGAGAACAAGCAATCAAACCTTGTCTGAAATTCAGTGATAATTTAAGTATTTAAGCTAATCCAAGCCGATGAAAGCACAACACAATCGGAAATTGATGTACGCGTTACGATGAGATAATGAGTCAAAAGGTGCTCGAACATCACATTTCGAATGAGCCCTTGGTCTACCGAGACTCGCAGTTTAAATATTGACGATTCATGTGGCACCTTCAGGATAATTTCCAGAGAAGAACCATCCAGACTCGATCACTGTACCCTGCTCTATCCCTCCCCACACACATCTCTTATGGCCCCATGCGCACCACTTAACATCACGAGTTTTCCCTTTTAGCGTCATATTTTTTGGTGGAAGCAAAAACGCCGATCCTGGAACGTTGGCATTTCACTCTTTTAACGTTGTCCTTTTTTAAAACATGATAGACTTCCAGATTTTAAGTAGCTTTATTACTACTTTCTTGCAGTTTAACCTTACAAATTTCGGCGATGAATGGTTTGTGGTGTGAAATTGTTAATTATTTAAACGCTTTCACTTAGGGCGGATATTACATAAACTTTGACCTGGCGCTCAACTTGGAAAACGGTGTCTATGGTGTTCACGCTTTATAAACATTAAACTCGGTATCTCATAGCATGATACGCATAGAGAATTCAGAAGTAATTTGTGTTTATAATTTACCCTCTGAAAAGAAAA